CGGTTCATAGTAAGGCCATAAAAATGTATATTATGTAAGGTATGCAAACGTCCAAAAACATCATAATTATAGTAAGGCATAAAACGTATATTATAGTAAGGCATGAAACGTCAAAAAACATCATAGTATAGTAAGGCCTAAAAACGTCATAGGTAATAGGTAAGGCATGAAAAGTCCACAAACATCATAGTATAGTAAGGCATAAAAACGTCATAGTTAGTGAAGGCTAAAAAACGTCATGTTATAGTAGTATGAAAACCGATCAAAAAACATCATAGTATACTTAGCATAAAAACTGTCATAGTATAGTCAAGGCATGACAAACGTCATAGTTATTAAGGCATGAAAACGTCAAAAAACATCATAGTATACGTCAGGCCATAAAAACGTCATATTATATAAGTATGAAAATGTCAAAAAACAATCTTAGTATAGTAAGCATAAAAAACGTCAAATAACGTTACGTATAGTAAGGCCATAATAACTCAAGTAAGGCATAAAATGTCATTATAGTGAAGCGTATGAAACGTCAAAAAACAACATCATACGTATAGTAAGCAGTAAAAAACGTCATAGTTATAGTAAGGTATAACGTTATATTTCAGTAAGCATGAACAACGTCAAAAAACATATAAGTTATAGTAAGGCATAAAAACATCATAGTATAGTAAGGCAATGAAAACGTCAAAGAAACGTCATAGGTAGGAGTAAGGCATAAAAAGTCATAGTATACGTAAGCCCATAAAAACGTCATATTATAGTAAGGGTATTGACAACGTCAAAAGGCATCAAGTAAGTAAGGGCATAAAAACGTCGATGTTATAGTAAGGTATGAAAACGTAAAAAACCATCATAGTTATAGTAAGGGGTATAAAATGTACATAAATAGTAAGTCATAAAAAATGTACAAAACGTTATAGTATAGTAGGCATAAAAACATAAAAAACGTCATAAGTTAGTAAGGCATAAAAACGTCATAGTATAGTAAGGATGAAAAATGTTCATAGTTAGTAAGGCTAGAAACGTCATAGTAAGTTAAGGCACTAAAAAACGTCATATTATAGTAAGGGTATGAAAACGGTCAAAAAGCATCAATAGTATAGTAAGGCATAAAAAAACGTCAAAAACGTCACGTATAGTAAGGCATAAAAATGTCATAGTAGAGTAAGGCATAAAACGGTCATATTATAGTAAGGCAAACGAAAACTGTCAAAAAAAATCATTAGTATAGTAAGGCATGAAAAACGTCATGTTGATAGTAGGGTAGGGAAAACCGTCAAAAACACTCATAGTAATAGTAAGTTAAAATGTATAATATAGTAAGATCATAAAAATGTCAAAAAACGTTATAGTATAGTAAGGCATAAAAACATCAAAAACGTCATAGTATATGTAAAGGCATAAAAACGTCATGAGTAAGTAAGGCATAAAAATGTCATAGTATTAGTAAGCATAAAAGCGTCCAAAAAACTTCATTGTAATAGTAAGCGATAAACACGTCATAGTATAGTAAGGCATAAAATGTCGATTAATATAGTAAGACATAAAAACGTCAAAAAAACGTCATAGTCTTAGTAAGGATAAAACGTCATAATATACATAAGACTTTAAAAACTTCAAAAAACGTCCATCAGTATAGTAAAATAAAAAAGTCATAGTATAGTAAGGCATTGTACAACGTCAATAGTATAGAAAGGCATGAAAACGTCGAAAGAAACGTCAGTAGTATGACTAAGCATCAAAACGTCAAAAATGTCACTAGTATAGTAGGCATAAAAAACGTTCATATTATTATGTAAGGATGAAAACGTACAAAAACATCATAGTATAGTAAGGCATTAAAAACCAGTTAGTAACAAAGTAAGTAAGTCGCATCACCATAGCCAGCTACACCGTACATAACAAAAAACGTCAGAAAAACGTCATAGTCTAGTTAAGGCATAAAACGCTCATAATATAATAAGACTTAAAAACTTCAAAAATCGTGCATAAGCTATAGTAAGACATAAAAAGTGCATAGTATAGTAAGGGCATTAAAACTATAGTATAGAAAAGGCATGAAAACGTCAAAGAAAGCATCATTAGTAATCAGTACGCATAAAAACGTCATTGTTATAGTAAGGTATGAAAACGTCAAAAAACATCCATAGTATAGTAAGTATAAAAATTGTCATAATTATAGAGAAGTCATAAAAATGTCAAGAAAACGTTATTGTGTAGTAAGGCATAAAAAAATCAAAAACGTCATAGTATAGTAAGGCATAAAACGTCATAGTATAGTAAGGGCATAAAAATGTCATAATTAGTAAGACATAAAAACGTCAAAAAACGTCATAGTCTAAGTAAAGGGAAAAACCGTCATAATATAATAAGACTTAAAAACGTTCAAAAAACGTCATAGTATACGTAAGACATAAAAAAGTCATAGTTATAGTAAGGCATTCAAACCGTCATAGTACTAGACAAGGCATGAAAACGTCAAAAACGTCATAGATAACGTAAGGCCATAAGAACGTAAAAAACGTTCATAGTATAGTAAGGCCATAAAACGGTCATATTAAGTAAGGCATGAAAAAAAAAGTGTCAAAAACATTCATAGTATAGTAAGCATAAAACGTCATTGTTAAGGAAGGTTGAAAGTCAAAAAACAATCATAGTATATTGAAGGCATAAAAACGTCATAGTATAGTAAGGCATGATAAACGTCATAGTATAGTAAAGGCATAAAAAACGTCATAGTATAGTAAAGCATAAAACACATCATAATATAAATAGACATGAAAACGTCAAAAAAACGTTCATAGTATAGTAAGGCATAAAAACGTCATAGTATAGTAAGGCATAAAAACATCATAGTAAGTAAGGCATAAAAACATCATATATAATAAGACATGAAAAACGTCAAAAAACGTCATAGTATAGTAAGGAATAAAAACGTCATAGTATAGTAAGCACTAAACACGTCCATATTATTTCAAGGCATGAAAACGTCAAAAACGTCATAGTATAGTAAGCATAAAAAACGTGCATAGTACTAGTAGGCATAAAAATGTCATAGTATAGTAAGCATAAAAACGTCATAATATAGATAAGACATAAAAACATCAAAAAACGTCGATAGTATAATAAGGCATAAAACTGTCCAAAACACTCATTCATGTAGTAAGGCATAAAACGTCAAAAAAAAAAAAAAAAAAAAAAAAACAAAAAAAAAAAAGAAACAAAAAAAAAACAAAAAAAAAAAAAAAAAAAATATTATAGTAGGCATGAAAAACATCCAAAAAAGCATCAATAGTATAGTAAGGCATAAAAACCATTCATAGTAAGTTAAGGCTATGAAAACATCATAGTATAGTAAGGGAGGACATTAAAAACTCAAAAAACGTCATAGTATAGTTTAGGCAAAAAAAAACGTATAGTATACGTGAGGCAGATGAAAACGTCATATTTATAGTAAGTCATGAAACGTCAAAAAAACATCAGTGTATAGTAAGGCATAAAAACGTCATAGTATAGTAAGGCATAAAAACGTCATATTAGAAGAGCATGAAAGACGACAAAAAAACAGTCTCATAGTATACAAGGCATATAAAACATCAAAACGTCATAGTATAGATAAAGCAATAAATATACCAAAAACGTCATAAGTATGTAAGGTCATAAAAACGTCAGTATTAATAGTAAGGCGATTGAAAACATCAAAAAATGTCATAGTATAGTTAAGGCATTAAACGTCAAAGAAACGTCAGTCATATTCTAATAATATAAAAGACATAACGTAAAAAACGTTATAGTAAGGCACATAAAATGTCAAAAAACGTCATGTATAGTTAAGCATAAAAACGTCATAAATAATTAGACATAAAAACATCAAAAAACGTCGTAATATAGTAAGGCATGAAAACGTCAAAAAACGTCATAGTATAATAAGGCATGAAAATGTCAAAACGTGTCATTATATAATAAGGCATAAAAATCTCAAAAAACGTCATAGTTTATTAAGGTATAAAATCTCAACAAACGTCATAGTATAATAAGGCATAAAAATCTCAAAAGACGTCATGTTATAGTAAGGCATAAAATGTCATAGTATAATATTACATAAAAAGTCATAGCATAGTAATGCATAAAAATGTCATACAAACTTCAATAACGTGTTGTCTTGGAGACATAGTCTCTTGAAAGGCACTGTGAAATTACCTAATATGACTTCACTCCAAACATAGTGCGACCGAGTTCACTCAATTATTGCTGGCGTATGTCAGGCCAATCCATGTTTTGCCAAAGTCCTTTCTGTGACAGTGACACATTTGTGTTTGTGCTTTTCAGTAGCATCAAGCCCCTCTCTCTCTCTCTCTTTTCTCTCCTTATTTAGATTTTCTCAGGATATCAGCTGAAACTTTTCTCTAACTTATTTATAAAAAAAACTATACAGATGAGGAGGATAATGTGCTGTAGCGGAGGTGTTCATACAGAAACAGCCTTTTGTGCTCATGTTACCTGTGCTGTTTTATAACATATTTTTCTCACAGTCTTTCGACAGCAGTATGTGGATCAGTCACATCTGGCCAATATCTGATCAGTTCATTTGGAGTTGTATTATCCATGATACTGATTCGGTGTATCAGATCATCACTGTCTTTCAGCTCCTGCTTCACCTCCTTCTGCACGTCTGTACTCACAGTATAAAACACACACTGCTGTCTCATTCATGTAGACAGTGTTGATTATTTGATCAACACAAAGTCCAGTGATATTAAAAGCTCTTTGTGGATCCAGCGCTCTTTCAATATTTACAACATTTGGTTTTTTGTCAGCCAGGAGGGTACGTTCTTCTCACACAGTATAAGTCAATATCATGTGTCTTTGTGTGTGTGTGTTGCAGGCTGCAGCAGTTGGACCGTCACTGTCAGAGCAGCGCCCAGCAGGTGTGTGAGCTGCTGGCCAAACAGAACCAGCTGATGCAGGAGAGAAACACACTCACCGAGGAGATGCAGAACCTACGCATAGAGGTACACACACACACACACACACACACACACACACACACACACACACACACACACACACACACACAAACACACAGTGTGTTTGTGACTCACTGCTGTTACCAGATGAATTTATGATGTTGTCGTTTCTCTGCAGGAGCACTTCATAGTTGTCAGTTAATATCAGTGAGAAGACGTTTGTCCCTTCATGACTAATGATCCTGTCTGATTTATAGTTTGTCCTGATTCATTATCAGAGATGTTACGTGTGCTGGTTATTCACATGCCAGGTTTACTGATAAAGTGTTTGTGTTTGTCTTTCCAGCTCCCCAACACTAGACGAGTCGATACCCTGTCCACATGAGTCTGTCCTCCCTGTTTCCTCCTCTTCCTCATCATCACCACTGCTCTGCTTTGCAGTTTGTATGTAAAACAGAACACAAATTCTTGTTTTTCTTTTTTGACTGATGTCAATGTGCAGGGAGACACGAACAAACTGTGTCACAAACCTTATGTAAATGAAAAATCATTTTTTTCAGTTCATTTGACTGTTACTGTGATGTATTGAGCGGTTACAGGTACAAGGATGATGTATTAAGCATTAAACTTTCAATTCTTTTACAAATGTAATAAATAAAATCACTGGTGCACTAATCAGCCTTTGGAACAGCCTTAATGTGAACTAATTTTTTAAATGGAAAACAGTTAACCCTTAATTTTGAACATTGTTTTCTGATACCATGTTTTTTCATTTTAACCGAGCTGAAAGTTCAGATTATAAATGAAACAAAAAGTCGACACCATTACTGCAGATTGACATAGTGCTTTATTGAAGCCGTCTGTAAGAAGGAAAATAATGTGCATCCCTATCATATACATTTTATGTGTAAAAATACTAAGGATGTACAGTGTAAAAAACAGCTTCATGTTGATGGTAATTTGTTGTTTTCACATCCTGGCGGCCTCACTGGCCAGCAGCACTGCATCCTGACAGCATGAGGGACAGAAAAAGGCTGTTTGATCTGCTTTTCTGTGAATCTTTCTGGATCTGCTGTGTTTCCCAACACTGTCTCAGAGTCAACATCATCTCTGCTCCACTGACTTGTCGCAGAGCAGAGCTGACTTCAGTATTACAGTGCTTCGGGGAAACATGGCCCGCTCTGCGAACAGCTGGAAGCTGTCCACAAATGTCTCACACAACTGTAAAGCTACAGTAGATGGACATGGACATGAAATTAAAACTTTTACACTTTGTAATATTTGTATGTTTGCTGTTTATAAATAAATGCATCTCATGCTTGTTCATGTTAATAACCATGATGATAGCAGACTAGTACCAGAGAGAGAAGAGAGGGGAGGGATTCTGTCGCAGACATGAGGTCAAATACTTTCAGAAATCCTTCCAAACACTTGAGCCGTTTACTTATTATCTGCATTAAACACCAGGCGGATCGCAGTTTGTGATTTTTGGCTGATGCTGTTGGTTCATTAACAACGGGTGAGATCAATACAGAGCAGCTGAGGTCTTTGAAAGGATTTTACATATTATTCAAATACTCTTGGAGTCAGATCTGTTGTGTGATAGATGTACAGTACAAACAGCAGCAGCTTTAAGAGTGAACACTGTCGTTGCAGCGTCAGATATCGATGTTGAGTCACACCAGTCGAGGGCACCAGTAAAGCTGTGAGGAGGCCCAAAGTGAATGTCTGCATCCAGTTTAAGAACCTCTGTTTGGTGACAACAACTGAGACAAAGTAAAATTACTGACTGACGTGCCCACAACTGGCTCATAGTCTTTAAGGGAAAAACCACATCGATGAAGAGGATTACTAAACTCCACCTTCTCCACTTAGAGTCGGAGGAAAACATTTATTTTTCTTTACGATCTCAGCCTCTGCCATTGTTGCTCCCTCTAAATGAACTTAAATCTGGAGAGGATTGAATAAGGAGAGTTGGAGGCTCACTGGAGGGAAAACTTTTCAAAATGTGAGAGACGAATGAGTCAGTGGCATCATTGGAGTTGCAATGATTGCTCAGTGGATTTTTCCAAACTTTGAGTGTATACACAATGACCACCTTCCTGAAAATTCCCACTGAGCCTCATTCACAGCCCACTCTGAAGGGATACACTGACTCGTCTCTGGCATGTGGGACACAATCATCCAGGTCTTGCCAACTCTAGACATCAGAGCAGCATCAAAGCTATCGGTTGTATGAGGAGGGGAGATGTGCTTTAAAAATCCTCATTTTCTTATAAACTTAAAAAAAAAAAAGCTAAAATCTTCCTTTAAAGCAGAGCAGAATCAGATTCCTCTGAATCATATAAAAAGTGATGGATGTGAAAGTGCTGTGGCCAAAGCTACAAAGCGGTATTTTATGAACTCTGGTGTCTAATGATTTTGGCGTTAAGCGTGCACATACAGCTAGAACTCCTCAGTTGCTCGCAGACCTGGGTCAAATCAAAGCTGAAATCCTTCCAAATACTTGGGAGTGTTTGCTTGAGCCTGTGGAGAGTGCCAGCTGGGTGGGATTTGTACTGATTTTGAACTATTCGGCTGCTTCGGCTGTGCCAGACAGGCTCAATCGATCACAGAGAAGTATTTTTCATAAGAGTTCTGAGTGCCACTTTGACTCAGGCCTAGTAGTGCAGACAGAGGAGGACTACAGCATGCAGGCCAGCGCCATCCTTTTATACTTTGTGCCATAAAGCGCTTTTGCTAGCTAATAGCAATTTAATGGATGTGCAAGAGTAAAGCATATGGACTTAAGAGCAGCGGGAAAACAGGTAATGTGTCATATAAGAGATATCTGTAAAGAAAAAAGAAGGAGGCATTTATTTTAGAACAAAGTCTCTGAAGACTTAAACTGCAGAGTGAAACACGACTACACCCCCTTACTGCTAAACTCCAAAACAAAATGACATCAAATAAATTAAATAGAAAAGAAATTCAAGTTATCCATCAATGATAATAATAAAAACATTCAAATAAATATATTGGAATACAATTTTCTATGCCTAATAAGAGAACATCCACTGGTGCTCTCATTTTAATCCATGTCATCCAGATATTGACGGAGACGTCTTCCACATGATGCTGTTGAGATTTCAAATTTTTAAAAATATATTTCCTGGTTTCTTGTCTTTTTTTTTTACTCTGAAGTGCTGCATGTCAATGTTTTTGACTTATTCTGAGCTAAACCGTAAGGCTTACCCAGCCCGGATTTTTAAATCTTGTTGGTCAGACTGGAAGACGTGACGACAAAACAACCGCAAACAAAGTCCAGACCTGAGAAATGACAGGACACGTTAAAGACAGAGGAGAGTCTCATCTAGGATCCAACGAACTGACAGAAACGCAGACGGACCTCACAAGCTCACATTTCATACCCAACCACTCTTCTGCCTCACTTCCAACTTTCTCCTCTAGTCTTGTCTCGACACACTTACAGAAGCACTTACACTTTTTTTCCCATCCTTACTGCTTTACATTCAGACATCTGTGCTGCACTTGTTTTTCTTTCTGCTCAACTTCCACGTCGTCTCTCTCTCTGAACTCTGGCTCAGCCTTCACCAACACACACCAGTGTTAAGATTAAATATGGGGGACATTTGTATCAATATCCAATCAGGTGAAATGAGCCTTCATAGTAAACACCTGTGGGATGATCTGGATAAAGTTGAAGAAGGAAAACCTCTCCTTTTCTTATTAGTTTATGTTCTTAAAGCTCTCAGTAAACTATCATCTGTCTTTAATGCGTCCTGTCACATTTTGGTCACAAAACAACACAAAAATATAATTAAAATAAACAATGGAGCAGGAAGGCTATCTGCTTTCCCTCCTACATTCTTCAGCCATTTTTGTTTCTTGAGGTGCCTTTTTTTCCTCTCAGCCCTAAGAAATAAGTTTTTTTCTAGAATAATGTAATAACAATAGAAAAAGTTAAATATAAAACCGATGAGTAGAACAATAAATAGAACATATATATATTATAGCCATTGCTGTGATTGGTGTAAACCCATAACTGTTGATGCATACCTCCTCACAGATCATAACATCTTTTTTTTTCTTTTTTTTTAAATCCTTCATAAGAAACTCACAGGAAACAGATGATTAGCTGTTACCTCACTCATCAATATGTCATAAATTATCACATTATAAATATTTCATATCGTATCATTCGTGGAGCTTTTCACCTGTACACTCTCTCTCTCTCTTCTTATCACAGAGCCCATCCTAACATCCTGAACTTTTCACTCTGTGGTGAATCTGTTCCTGCGTCAGTTTCCCTTTCCTGCACAAACACAGAGAGGTACAGCTGTGTGGTTCCCATGATAACAATATGTCACAGTAAAGCTTTTCCATCATTGACGCACAAGTACCGTTTCGGTTTTGTTTTCCCTTTTGTGACAGAGGAGACTGAAACTCAGGGACTTGCAGTTGAGAAATAAATAAAAAAAACGCTTTGTTTGGGGAGGGAGGGGGGGGGGCACATTCAAACCAACTGTTTTCCTCTCATTTTTCACCTCTGCGGTGTTGAATAAATCAACCACCTTGCACTGCATTGTGGGTAATGTAGTAAAGCTCATGGTTTGGGAGCTTCATCCTCCTGAGCTGCTGTGCTTTGAGGTGCGATCTTAAACACAAACCCATAGTAGTACCTCACACACACGCACACGCACGCACGCACGCACACACACACACACACACACACACACACACACACACACACACACACACACACACACACAAACACACACACACACACAAACTGGACATCCTATCATCATCTTAATCCACAGAGCTGACGTGTAGTAGTTGTACATTAGAAGTAGTAGCAACACCTTTTCTGCGGCTGTACAAGCATAGACGTTAATACAGGTGGTTGATGCTTTGCTGGCGCCTGTATAATGACCTGCAGCATTAAGCTAGTACTGTAGCACCGGGTTTTAGTAGTTTAGTAGTTGTAGGAGTAGTAGTACCTGTAGTAGTTGTGGTAGTAGTTGAAATAGCAGCAACAATAATAATGAATTGCACTGAGCAAAACCTGAGTCAAATCCTGTTCGACAACATGAGGTGTGTAGGATTCTGCTCACTGATGACAACTGTTTCCTCAATGTCAGGCAGCCTCAATCAATCCCAGAATTATGTGAGGGTTTGAAATCAGAGCCAAGTGTCTCGCTGAGTCTGAGTATCTGTTTGCAAAAGCCTGAGATACAACCGGTAACGGCAGTTTGGGTTTGAATGACTTAAAATGCTGTATCTCCCTCGTACGGATAAGAAGCCACAGAAATGTCTCCGTAAAAATGCATCAGCTGTTATCTAACTTGATCAGAAGTGTTTGTTTTTAGAGTTTGGCAGGACCGACACGTGTCAAAGCACAGCAGGCCACCGGTGATGCTCCTTTCATTAAAGGGACATTACATAGTAACTGATCACATCACAGCTCGGATCACCTAGGGATTCAGTGCAGGATTCGAGGGTAATTTTGCCTGGGAGTTCTTTGTAAAAAGGGATTCACAAAAATAAATAAATATGAAGTGGAGAAGTGGAGTGGAGAGGTGAAAAAGAGAGGAGGAGGAGGAGGAGGAGGAGGAGGAGGAAGAGGAGAGGAGGAGAAGGGCAAAATCCTTCAAGTCACTGTTGTTCTGGGTCGGTCCAAAGCTGTGGGTCTTTTTGTCCCACAATGATGACCTCAGAGACCAGCTGTGATGATGTCACCATGACGATGGACCACTCATTCCCGCCCACTGGCTGAGTAGGAGAACTGTGGGAAGTGCGGTCTTCTCTCGTTGTCTAGACAGTCCATCCCGTCCTCGTCAACTAATAAAAGGAAAGAGAGAAGTGAACTCAGACGTACTTTAAGTCAGTTTTCATTCAAGTCCTAAAAATCAAACAGGAAATCGGTGAATTGCCAGGTTGAATTTTGTGATCTCAAAATAAAAATTCAACATTAGAAGGCAAGGTAGTGGTGATGTACTGCAGAATTAAACAGAACACAATTCAATTAACAAGTGTGTCTTTGATGTGCCAATCTCCTGCTTACTAACTGATGTGCGACCTACAAAACAAGTGGAACCTCACATTAGCACAGAGAAACACATTGGTTCCACTCATACATAATTCAGTGCCGAACATTTTGAAACCGGTATCTTCAACTCAAAAGGCTGTGAAGAGCTGCATGTGGCCTGGGGACTATTACAGAGACACTTGAATAAACAGACAACAGCACTTTTGAGTGTTTGTTCCCCCAGTTAATTGAAGTGGAAATGTCTCACCTGAAGAAAAACAGGGGGTGATAATAAATTGTTTAAAACTGCAGTTATTTAATTGAGTAACATTTTATCACTATCAGCTGCTTCACAAGGAAAATCTACTGAGTGTGTGGCCAAATAATTTAATATATCAACTCAATCATAAACAGTGCATCTATTGTTTGGCGGGATGTGCTACTTTAACAGTAACATTCAATATTGAACTCCAAAGCACTTGATAAAAAACAGCCCACAGAGAATTCACTTTTTCAGTCTGTCTATTTCTATATTTCTCTCTTCACTGAGAATATTTGTAGCTATGTAAAACGCGAAAGTGAGATTTTGTCAAGTTTTGATGAGGGGCATATGTTTGTGTGTACATGTGTGAGGAAGAGGCAGGCAGAGACAGAAGAGACTCACATTTTTCTGGTGGAGTGATTGTAATGGTCTGGGCTGTGAACTCCTCGTCAAAGTATCTGGTGTCCGTCTCTGACGTCACCTGAGGCTTGAAGGGAGGGACCAGCTGGGATGGAGAGGTGAGGAGGACAAAAAGCGGAAAGATTAGAGGACAATAACACCACCGGCTACCACTGTTTCAAACTACAGAGCAGCTGCTTGAAGGACACCAGATTCCATGGAGGAGAGGAGAGAAAAGGAAAGAGGAGAAAGGAAAGGTGGGCAAAAGGAGGGAGGAGACAGAAGAGGGAAAGTAAGGAAAGAAGAAAAAGAGGAAACGGAGGAGAGGAGAGGACGTGGTAAAGAACAGGAAAGATGGTAGAGTAATCCAGAGAGGGGTGAAGAGAGCAAAGTGAAAAGAGGGAGCTCAGCACCTGTCTAACATGCTATAGGTGTTGCCTCACAGGACCTGATTCACACTCAGTGGTGTTATATGAGCAAACACACAGGCTGATAGAGCTCGAGGATACGAGGTCACACCTCTTCATAATGTCCTGAGTTTTATACAGCTGCCTGTCTGTTCTCATGCGCACATCATGAGTGTTCATGTGTGACATTAGTTAACCCTGACCCTCTATAGAAATACAATTCATTGTACAATTGCAATGCACAAAATGTGAACATATGGATTTACCATCATGTTGCTCCATACCTTTTTATCATAGACGTCCTGCCAGTCAACGCCAGAGAAGAAACTGTGTCTCATTATTTCTTTAGCGTCATCTGGTCCTCCACCAAGCCTAATGGAGAGGAGAGGTGAGGAGCCGAGAGGAAGGTAATAAAACAAGACAACAGATCAGTGGAAGGAACATTTGATTTAAACCAACAAGAACACAGAGCCATGATCTCAACCTCATGGAGTCAGTCTGCAATCACATGAAGAGACAGACCGAGACAGTCAAGTCCACAGACGAACTGTGGCAAGTTCTTCAAGATGCTTGGAAAGGCCTGGTGTTTTAGAGGCAAAGGGTGGTCGCACTAAATACTGATTTGATTAGGTTTTCTTCTGTTTACTGCTGTCAGTGTGCAGTTAAATAATACATTATGGCACCTTTAGTGCCCTTTCACAGTTTTGTGTGTAAAGCTTTTGGTTGTGTTCACCGAAAAAGCATGTGAGAATTTTTGATTTTTATGCAGGTATGAAGAGATTTAATATGTAAGAGGAAAGAATTATTCATGTTCATATTTGCCATTTTTGTCTGTACCATACATCTGTTCACATCTTTGCATACAGACAGGACATTAACCCAGGACACATACCGTTTGTTGGGATCTTTGATGAGCAGGCCGGACAGCAGGGACTTGGCGTCGGCTGACAGAGTGCGCGGGAACTTGATGTCCTCCATGAGGATGAGCTCAAACAGCTTCTCGTGGTCCTGGTTGTAGAACGGCAGTCGGCCACACATCATCTCGTACGTCACAACACCCAAACCCCACCAGTCCACCGCCCGACCGTAGTCGTTGTCCTCCAAGACCTGAGGAGAGTAAAGAAACACAAGATACACAAGTTCTGCTTACTTAAATGGGACCATTTGTTTTATTGGACATCTGCTTTTATTCTACTTTTATTGGACTATATACACTGCCCAAGGTATTCAGTGAAGAGACAGATGAGCAAGGAAACACAGCCATGAAGAGTCAATATGCCATTTTGCTGACGGGATGAATTAAAAAAACAGTAAAAGTTGCCTGTAATGAACAGAAGCAGCTGCACAAATAACAAGGGCTGAGGTGTAGATGGTAGCCCCCCTTTCTTAATAAACAGACACACATATACAGAGGCAAACATCATGGGACGGCAGGTCTTCAGAGGCCCCTGTTACAGTAAGGGAGTCAGTGTGCTGGCGTGGCCCACCAGATGCCCCTCTGGTCCCTGCCAGCTCTCCCTGGCACACTGACGCTCTCCTGGCAGGGACAGACAGGAACGTCCCTGGATGGAAAAGGCAGGAACAGCCCGCAACACGGGTCAGGGCCGGTCCACCCTCCAAGCTGGCTAGCACAGGTAGTGTGCTGTGAGCCGCTATGTTGTGAGTGTGGGTGAGTGTGTGTGTGTGTGTAGAAAGATGTGCTGTGAAAGAAGTCATTCCCATATCAAAGTCTTGTGTCTGGGCTGCCTTACAGCTCCAATTCCCTGACTGCTCTTCTCACGCTGTCCTCCCTGCCTTATCCTGCTTTTTCCATCCTCTAATCATGTCTTCCCTCGCTTGCTCCTTCTCTTTCATCCTCACATGCGCCCGTTCGTTCACCTCTGGAGGAGTGAGGAAGAGGAGGAAAAGGGACACAGAAACTGAGGCATTTCAGGTGCTGTTGCTCATTAACATAATAAGCTTATTAACATGATGAGTGTACATGTATTCATGCATGCTTGTGTTGCACGTGTGTATGTGTGTGTGCGTGTGTGTGTGACTGACGGACAGACAGGCAGGGCTGGAGAGCAGCCAGAACAGCATATGTTGTACATCTCGCCAATAATAATAACATCTCACTCACTGTTAATAATGGACCAGGCACGGTGGACGTGAGCACACGCCAACAAACACTAACGCATGAATGTAAACATGCACAAACATACTCACACAAAAACATGTTTTTGACACAACTATTATAAAATTGCACGATGAAACTATACAGCAAATGTCATAATATCAAATGATTCAACAATATACTGTGGACTGAACTAATACCTGCCATTAGCAGTAGCAAGATGGGTGGCAGATGCAGATAGTGCAGATGTCATTAATACACAAACAGCTTAGTTTGACTAGAATAGAGACTTAGAGACTCCAAACTGCAGAATAAAAGTAAAACACAAATCACTCAAATGTAAATCATACTGAAATTTTACTCAATATTTAAGTACTTGTGCTAAGATGTTTCACACTGACATACACCTGTAACATTTGAACAGATTTCAGGCACATGGATATTTAAATATGAGATATGACATGTATGACATGTTTCATTAACTCATATAACATGAGCTAATGAAATTTCATATTTGGAGTCAAAACTGCAAGTATGCTATTTCCAGATGAATCTTTATGATACTACTTTTGATATAATGAAAATGATATCATCAGCAAACAGACTATTGCTTTATGGGCACAGAAGGTGAAACATCTCTCGCACAGGAGCCAAAAAGTTCTTGTTTCAGGCACTGATGCGTATTCAATGTTATCTTCATATTGCAGAGCAGGAATCCTGCATCTTAAAGCCCAGAACAGCAACAACTGAGAGAGTTACTGTAATTTACAATCACCGCAGTATAATGAAGGGTTATAAAGGGTAGGTAGAAAAGTCTTATTCTTCTAACATTTCTCCTAATTAGTGTCTGTTTTACAACCCTGACTGTAAATCATGTTAAATCTCATTGTGCGAGCCCAGGTGAGAGAAAACACCAAACAGCTGCCTGCAGGTTTACACAGCAGTTCAATACCACAGAAAGTCATTAACTGGCTGAGCTCATGCACTCGACACTAAACTGCTAATGATGCAGGCGGCTGCTTCAGTTTGTGCAAGTCAACATGTGCATGGAAGTGAATAAGAGACTTATGAGCGCTATTTTATGTGTGAATGTGTCTGTATGTGTCTGCGTGTGTGTGTGTGTGTGTGTGTGTGTGTGTGTGTGTGTGTGTGTGTGTGTGTGCATTAAGCTGGTCACCCTGTTGGCAGCTGCAGAGAAGAACTGGGGGAACGAAGTGCGCCGCCAGCTCCAGATATACTATTGATTGGTACGGCTGGAGGGATAACACTGGCTTAGACTGCTGGGAGACTGTCAGACACACACACACACACACACACACACACACACACACACACACAGCAGATGGAATATTTATCCGTCCTCATCAAATTCATAAAGTTTTGAGAGTGAGGCAAACTAGGAGATGTTTGGTGTGGTTTCAGTCCCTGCAGCTTGAGGAGACACACGCACACACATGCACACACACACAAACGCACAGACAGTGTGCAGTTTATGAAATTCAGAGCTGCTCACAAGGCTGTTTTCGATGCTGATCTACAGGGCTGAATGCACTGTGTGTTGAGTCTTTGTACAAAATAAAGTATAGAAATCTATACAAATGAAAGCTGTCCAGTTGGGCATGTATATGTATATGTGTTTCAGTGTGTGTGTGTGTGTGTGTGTGTGTGTTTCTGTGTGTCCTGGGACCAAAGAAAGTGGTGGCAGCTCGGTTGCAGGCAGGGAGCAGATTAATCCATACAGAGCCAGAATGCTGCCCCACAGCCGTAGGCATGGAGGGATGGGAGTGTGTATATGTGTGTGTGTGTGTGTGTGTGTGTGTGTGTGTGTTTAAGAAAAAGACAGGACAAATAAATAGGACAAGAGAGAAGATGTAACAAATGATAAATCAGCAGGAGAGGAGAGGAGAGGAGATGACAGAACTGGTTAAAAGCAGTCATGAGGGAGAAGGTCTTGTCCTGTCCTGGTCCCTGTTGGGACAGCCATGTGGCAGCTAGAAGCTGTTCATGGGACAAGGGCTTTGGCAGCCTGGACAGCACTAGATGGGACGGGATGGGCACACACAGCCTGTGGCTCTACCAGCCCAGATACCTAGCAGGGAACACAAACACACACACACACACACACCTCACAGTGAACATACACTCACATATTGTCGGTGTCAAACACAGACCTTCTATCTCCAAAGTGCCGTCATTTGGATATTGGTTTATGCTGACTATCTTGCACTGTTTTACAAATGGCTGAATATGCTGCTATGTTCATGAAACATTTACAGTTACAATAACAAAAGAAAAACATCACAATGCCCAACATATACAACATGCAAACAAAATAAAAACAAACACATACAAATAAATGGAAAGAAGCCCAAATCCATCCCCTTCAACACTTTCAACAAAAAAAAAAAAAAACATAGCCACAAGGAAATGTGTCAAAAACAAAAAATATGAGAAAACAGAGAAAAAACACTCCCCATGTGTTTTCTCTGATCCTGTTCCATCCCTTTACAAGGACCTTATACTGCTTATTGTTCAATAATCTCACATTAATCTTTTTTTATTTTTGACTGTCCTTGAAATAAACAACACTTCAATCTAATGCTTTAAAAGTTTGGCTAAAGAATTATTCACATTACAGTGTTATGTTGCTGAAGTATGTGCATGACTTCCTTCAGGCACACAGCAGACACAAACCCTTTTTATACACTTCTCATCTGCCCTTTTCACTGACGGCAAACACAGGAACTGTCTGAATTTCACTCCTGTAACCCTGAAATATTTTCTCTCCCTTCTCATCTTCCTCTGTCTTCAACCCCCACCTCCCCCTTTCTCTTTTTAATCCCGGCTACTTTGCATCTCTGTAACTTGGCTCCGAGCAAACTGTGTTATTTTTACACGCGGGCGGGCGAGCAGAGCGAGCGGGCGGGCGAGTGGCGGCGGTGTAGATTTCCAGGTTTTTTCCGAGCACCTTCCTCCAACCTCGCCCATCTGCCGCCATCTGCCTCGCTTTAGCCTGCACTTTCTACTGCAATCACACACACAGCACACACGCGCACACACACATAAACGCACACAGACGCACATCCTGTGAAAAATAACCAACAGCCTCCAATCAGCTTTTGGCACGCAAAGGAAGGGACTCTAAAAAAAAAAGCACAAAATGCTGCGCCAAATTGTCCTCCATACTTTTTCAAGTGGGATATACACTATGCCTCTCCCCTCCTGCTTTCATCTCCACATCTCCATCACTTTGTCTCCACCACCCACAGTCCTGCAACGCTCCCGCCAGTTGATCTGCTGGCCTTCGAATGAAGCAGCGCTGATGGCTGGACAGAGGATGGCTGCAAAAAATTATTACAAGAATGTAGTGTGTGTGTCTATGTGTCTGTGTGTATATATGTGTGTGTGTGTGTGTGTGTGTGTGTGTGTGTGTGTGAGTGCTGTGCTCTGCCCTTTTTCAATTCATCCAACACCCTCATTCACACGCACAAGCTTCATATTTACAGTTCACCCTGATATTATGGAAACGGTTCGCCTGTGAAATCTGTAAATGAAAATGTACATACATAAATTCCACTATAAGAGGGTTTCAAACATCATTACAAAACACAGGGTATTATGGGTATAGGGCTGTGAGAGAGTACCTGCATCACTTCATGATTCAAGGGTAGTGTGTTTGTGTGTACTCTATGAAATTACCGCCCATTTATCAAAGATCAGTAATAATCCTGGTAGTTAAACTGATCAGCTGGGGCTGTTGTTAGAGAAACAGGTGCTGTGCAGTGGGCAACATGAGTCCCACAGTTCACAGTGGCCGTCCTGGTGGAACCCTGAGCAGTGCAGAAACGCTGCGCGATACATAGGCTGCCTGTGGATGCCACAGATGCTTTTTATGTACTACAAAGCCTCAGCCAATTTTATGTTCACAAAATAACCAAAATATATGTACTGTACATAATCAGTCTCATGTGTTTAAACACTCTAAATTCATCAAAGATGTCTTCTGAAGCCATCTATGATGTACTGTAAGTAGAGCAGAATATCATATAACACATCAATTCAAGTTGGATGTTGATTTTGTTCTGTCATTTTGTTGCATGAGGCATCAAACTACCATACTGAACAAAATATATATTGCAATTGTCAGTGCCAAAAAAGTGAATTGGTTCTGTAAAATTTAGCTCATATTTAATGCTAAATAAAAGTTAACAAAAACGTTACTGACATAACAGCATACACGCTCACCAAAGAGTTTCTTTTACTGCTCCCTTTTACTTATTCATGTATTAATTTTTCTACTCTATAAGTAGTTGTTGTGAAATTCAATTTTACATTGTACTTCATGGGGTGGTTATGTTAAGGACCCAAGAATGAAAGCTTGTGCTACTCTTGCACTCATAACTTACGGTATAATGGGGCGACATAATGTAAACATGTTTGAAATGGTAGTAAGATCAAAGGAAGAAGGGAAAGAGAGACTGAAGAAGTAGAAAAACACAGATCTTTAAAAACACTGATCATGAATTACTTAAAGTCATGAAAGAAACATCTTCATGAAGATAAAGAGCAGTTCAAGGTATGAGCGGCAGAGAGAACAGAGAAAAAATTTTAAAAAATGGGATCAAAAGGACACCACACAAAAAAAAGAAAAGAGATTAGAAGATAATTAAGTGTTACCTCTGGTGCAAGGTACTCTGGAGTGCCACAGAAGGTCTTCATGGTAGCAGCATCTGTGATGCCCTCCTTGCAGAGACCAAAATCTGTGATCTTAATATGGCCATCTTTATCCAGCATCAGGTTTTCCAACTGGAACGGAAACAAAATACACAGCAATTCCCGCAATGCAACTTTCCCTATAAAAATGTCACAAATCAGTGGAAACAGTAGAGAAAACTGTAAGCCTGACAATGCATTTATTGGGGAACTGGCTTGAATTCATCTCAAGAGCTTTTGGTCAAAGGTTTTGAAAAATTGTGACTGGGAATCAACACACATAACTGCTTCGTTAATTGAAAAATACTTTTTGTGTACTATGGAGTCAAGGTTTTACTGCTCTGAAGAGGAGAGGAGAGGCAGGCAGGTTAGGAAAACCATATTGTATTACCCCATATAGTGGCAATACACACACTGAGACACATAAACTCTAAGCAGAGGAGGGAACTAAACTTCAGGCGTGTAGTGGAGCCACTCAACCTTTTAATTTTAATGGCTGAAGTGTTTTTCTCGCTCTCTGTCAGCTTTTTCTCCTTTCTGTTTTCTTGGCTGCTGTGAGCAGGGCTGGGGCCAAGGCTGCCAGGCAGACACTCAGACAGAGCCATCTACCTCTCTACCTCTGTGGCATCAGCACCCCCTTCCCTCCCTCCCTCCTTCCCTCCCTGCCTCTGCTTCCTGCACTTCTTTACAGCTTTATGTCTGTGTGAGCTCGTCCCTGTCCCTCTCTTTAATTACCCAACATCGTGAGCCACTCTTCTCCTCCTGGATGAAAAAAAGAAAAAACTGTGGAAACATGAGAGATGGGGGACGGCTTAAAAAAAAAAAAAAAGTTTTCCCTCAAATATCTGATCACTCTCATCCATGCCCCCCAACCAGCCTCCCTTCTCTGTTTCTGTTTACCTTGAGGTCCCGGTACACAATCTTGGCTGAATGCAGGTAGTCGAGAGCGGAGACGATCTCGGCGCCATAGAAGCGCGTGCGTTCTTCTGAGAACACCCGCTCTCTGGACAAATGGAAAAACAGCTGCGGGAGAAGGAGGGAGGAAAAGAGAGGAAGAGTGGGTTAGAGGAAGAGAGAGGGAGACAGAGAGAGGGGGGAGAGACAGCAGGGACGGCACAGCAATAATTACTGATTTATTGGAGGAAATTAGCACAACACAAACTGGCTGCCCGCACCATATTGAGATGATAGATAGTGGAGGGGAGGGTGAGCTGGAGTGAGTGTGTGAGGGGTGCGTGTGGAGAGGGGTTGGGTGGGGGTGGGGGGTGTCTCGGAGGAGGGCGGGTGGAGGCACTCGGCAGCTGGCGCCTCATCTAGCAGCCCCCTCACCACACACACACACACACACACACACACACACACACACACAGTCACATCCCTCTTCCATGTTACCCTCTGGGCTAGGTTGGCACAGTGCTGGCGTGGAGTTTGGCGACGGGGGCCAAATCAAGGGTTTAATCAATACACCAGTCTAGTTAAAGACAGGCCGACCGCCGCTGGCACTGCCGCCAACAACCCCACCCCACCTCCCATCCCAACTGCCTCCAGTGCATCACTCATTAGTGGCCTAACTGGCCTTGCCCCTTGAGCCGCCGTCTTCATTTACTCCATTCTCATATCCATCCCTCTGTTTTTGGCAAGAGGCTCTTTTTCCTACTTTAAAGAGTCCACAACTCGTTTTTTTTCCCAGGTGCCTTGACCTCCCGTCTCTCCTCTGTCTTGCTTTTTTTAATCGCTCGCCTCACATTCCTTTCGAATATCTCTCCCTAGCCGTCAGTTGTCAAGTTGTCACTGTCACACTGCTACACATGTGGCACCAAAATGACACCAGCCTGCTGTGCCGCACCAGTCAAGTCGTACAAATTACCCATGAGGCCAAGGGGCACACATCTCCCCATTAATTGTTCAGGGAGGTTTGCATATGGCCGCTGGAGTGATGCTCGCAGACCACCTTGCTCAAATGGTGTGTGTGTGTCGTGTGAGTGTGAGAGTGTGTGTGTGTGTGTGTGCGTGTGTGTGTGTGTGTGTGTGGGGGTGTGTGTGTGTGCATACGTGTGTGTGGAGTGATGCAGTGAGAGGGGGGTAACACGACAGGTGGGCCTTCATCAGTGTACTGGCAGCTGTGACTGTGGCAGGTTTGTAATGGGTTGTGTGTGTCCAGGTTTGTGTGGTATGTGTGGTCACAATTCGTCCGTTGAGGTAAAAATTTGCGGTGTGTGTTTGTCTAAGTATGTGTGTGTGTGCTGGTGTTTTCTGTGTGTGTGTGTTTGTTCAGGCCTGGCGCTGGCTGAACTGCCTAAATAACTGGGAGGGGAGCAGGTGACAGTTACACTGAGGGAATGAACCAAGATTGCAAAAACGGCCCGATTAAATATCTGAGAAATGGAAAAGTGGGGGAATCCAAACTCATTTCGTCTCCGACTGTCATTCTGGCTATATCTGCCCCATAGGTGTGTTCATAAATAGACACAAGCAGGAGAGATGAGAAGGCAAGCGAGAGGCCAGTTGGTTGGCAAATTAACTGTGTTAGAAAGCAATCAAACAGTGAAACTTTAGTCACTTCTTGAGTGTTTGCACGTCTAAACATTCCTTTGCTGCATACACCAATTATACTATATTGCCCCATGTAAAAATTGTGCATTCGTCTGTTAGAGACATTTATAAACCCAGACAAATGTTTAGGTGATCATCTTTGGAATAACATTTAAAACGACTCATTTACACTTTGAATACAGTTAGTTTGGTTTAAATCTGGCATCTGCAGTACTGGAAAATGATACACTCATAATAACCCTGATATATAATCATTAAGATTAGAAGATTAGAAGATTAATATTTACTCATCCAAATTAAGACAAAAAAGCCATGAAATACATCTTTTTAAATACTGTGAATATGTAGCCATGGCCAATTCTCTGCCATCTGAGTTTAAATACAGCCTTGAGCTCACAGCAGAATAGGTGGAGTGCATGTCAGTTAGTGTGGTGGAGTTGTGGTTTAACTGGCTGTTTAAAGCAGTAGCACAAAGACGGGTAACCACATACAGCATAAAGTGTGTGCATGTGCGTGTGTGCGTGCGTGTGTGTCTTACCTCTCCTCCATTCACATATTCCATGACGAAACAGAGGCGGTCTTTAGTCTGGAATGAATACTTCAATGACTGGAATGAAAACCACACACACAAACATGCAATGAGCACACTCATAAAACACATAAACACTATTTAACACTGAACTGATTCTTGTGTGTGTCACAAACACAACACCACTTAGTGGACAATTTCATCCACTGGTAATATCAGTGCTGCATCTGCTTTATTCGTAACACTGCCCACTATTTATTGAGTCTATCCTTTTTTTTGTCGAATTGTATGAAACGTATTAAATCTTATGGTGTATAATGAGCTCAAATTATCAAACTGTACAAGTAGCATACAAGTGATCAAGCACTAACTACCATGATGCATTTACTGACACAATAGCTTCTCATTTATTTCTCTAACAGCACAGACATAACCAGTCTTACAGTTGAATAGCATCAAATATTGTTTTTTCTGATTTTGCCAAGTAACACATTATGTACTTGTCTTTCACATGCACTCCCTATAGAGTGAACCGTGAAGTGACGGAGTGAACGATTTCATACCCAGCAAGAAGTCTGGTCCCACTCTAGCTAAAACAGCAGGAGCAACAAAACGTGATCGTTCATAGCTTCAAACAGTTTATGTCTGCATTTGCTTATTCAAAGCAAATATCTGAGTGTGTGAAGTAGGTGTGTGCGTGTGCGTGTGTGTGTGTGTGTGTGTGTGTGTGTGTGTGTGTGTGTGTGTGTTTTCTTTCAAGGGAGAAAGCTACTAGACAAAAGAACAGTTGGTCTGAGTCTCTTTGTGGCTGCAGGTGTGACAGGGGTAAACTCAGATGTGAACTGTAATTGCTCTCACAGGGTGTATGTGTGTGTGTGTGTGTGTGTGTGAACATTCATACATATATGTGTGTGTGTGTGTGTTTCCAAGGAGCGTGGCAAAAATGAGGAGCTGCTAACGTGTGTATGTGTACATCAAAGACGGAGTGTAAAGCTAACAGATGCAGCCATTGTACAACAATTTGCCGTCTAACTCATAATTAGCCACGAGAGATACAGATATGTATAAGATCAGTATGTCGCCTGTGTGTGTGAGCACATGTTACATACACTCTTAAAGATGTTCGTACATTTAAATATGTACGTATGTCTAAATCATACTAGTTGTTTTCGTGTATTTGATGTACTTACAGTGAGAAAGGGGTGTCTGGTGTTTTTCAGTACTCTGCTCTCTGTGAGTGTGTGTGCCACTTCATCCTGTGCAGACACAATAAGGTAAAAGCATTTTCAATCAAACAGCTGAACAAGAAGGCAGCTGAAGAGCACTCTGAGCGATACAAACAACAGATACTGACATCTGAAACTGTACGTATAATCAATAGATGGACAGTTTCCTGCAAGACTGACCTTGGCAATGATGACTTCTTTTTTAAGGATTTTCATGGCATAATATTTCCCGCTGGCCTTTTCTCGGACAAGAATCACTTTGCCAAAGGTTCCCTTTCCCAGCAGCTTCAGGTAGTCGAAGTCACTCATTGTCTAGAGGGAGAGAAACATAGGAAACCAACATCAGCAATTAATCTATGTTTCTAGGTGAATAGTTGTTATGTTATGGCATTTAGAAGTTTTGATGTCCCACTAGCAGTGCAGGGCTGTGCATCATAAGGCAAGTTTTAATTTATCGTCAGGACAATACCTGAGTATGAGTATAAATACTTTTTTTTTGCTTTGAGGAAAACAATCCTGTTTTTCTTAAAGCCCTTTTTTCATTTAACAAAAGAAGCCAAACTTGTCAAATATTAAATGTTTTGTAAACACAAGCAACTTTGCCTAAATATCATATAACTATGTGATCAAGTGACTATGTGATTACTCATCTGACCAGACACAACCTTCTGTACTTGATAGATTTTGATACATAGTGCTATGGACAAAAAAAATATTAGCAGCAGAGCTTAAACCTGGCAATCTTTGTGTAGTCTATTACAGTTTATATCATTCATATATTGTATTGACAGCTACTGACCAGAATGCCAGGAAGTGTAGTAGGGATGTTAATGGTCCCTGTTGGATGATGCCAAACAATCTTAGTGGTGACCTTCTGATATTTCAGGTTGTGCAACTAGTAAAACCTCCCCTTGACCAACCCTTCTGGCTATGACATACATTGAAAAATGGATTTTTACTGAGCCACTAACATTTCGGACATTTTTGTACTTTTGCAAAATTACATCGTACAAAACCTTTTCAGTGTGGGGTGTAATGAATCATGAAGCCTGCAGGGGGTGCGACCTGTACTCCAGACTGTTTAGTTAACTTTATATGTCTAGTATAAATTTTGCCCACATGTAGCCTTTGCTTTGATACCAACTACATTTACAAAAGTTGTTTTGCATGACTGCTTTTACTTGCCGGATGGCTGTAATTTGAGAAAACCAATTTACACCCTTGTTGTTACAGGAGCTATTTCATTAGTTGACACAAACCTGTGAGTGAGAGGACAATTTTTAAAATTGCAAGCAGTCAAAGGCAATAACCCATTACATGACAATGAGCAGCAGCAGTACAGCTGGAATAATTTCTGTATTTTCAGAGTGAGTATGTGTTTGTATGTCTGTGTGTGTGCGCATCTGCTGTCGTTAGTTACCTTGCGTTTGTGGTGTGTGGTGGAGATGTCCATCTCCTCTTCAACCATGTTGTCAATATTGGAAGTAGGGCTGCACTGGATCCTCTCCTCCTCTTGTCTTTGCAGCTTGTCAGCCACCATCTGGATGGCCTCTGTCCACTCATCTCTGGGTTTAGAACATACAACAAGATAAAGTTTATAGAAAAACTCAAGTCAAATTAACTCAGCTTTATTTACATAGCACTTTACACACAACACAGTTTTCCTCTGTGTGCTCTAAAGCACACAGAGGAAAAGAAAACAAAAGAAAGGAGACAAATAGAACATCAGAAAGAAAAGAAAGGTAAGAATAAGAACTCTGTAAAGAGAATAAAAACTCAATTAACAGAATGATGATAATGATAAACTTGATTTTACAACCACTAATATAAATAATTTACATTTCATGAAACGTTTGAAAGGTCATTTTTTAGAGGTGCAACAATTTGTCATTTGACAGAAGGTTAATTGGTAACTATTTGGATAATCAATCAATCATTTAGTAATTTTTCAAGTACAAAACAGCAATTCCAGCTTTTTCAAATGTGAGGATTTGATTCTTTATCCACCTATTTTAATATTTTTTTGGTCATAAATGAAAATTGACTGAATATTGTTGGACTCTCGACTGGTGGCCAAATAAAACAAGCAATATGAATGTCACCTTGGGCTCAGATAATTTGTTACAGGCTTTTTACGCTATTTTCTGATATGTCATTGACAAAATGGTTAATCAAGAAAAATTTATTTAATTAATTTAATTAATTTGATTAATTGATAAAGAAGGTTATTGTTATCTGCAGCCCTGATACAGTGATACAGTCTCCACAGAAACTGCACTATCATTTGCAGCTTAGAGGCACTGGTATCAAAGGGCTATCATATTAGATAACATGATATTGTTGTACAAGTGTTCTTGTTATTGTACCCCTGTGTCTCGTCTAGCTTTGGCTTGACTTGAAATGCTTAACTGATCAAACAGCATAATACATACATACAATATAACATAATTTAAAACCAGCCCTGGTGACAATACATTACACAGGTGTAAAATGTAAAATTGGTCAAAGATTCTCCAATAGGATGGCTAGTGCACTTATTTAACCAGGTTTGTAAAGGCGCTAAAGTGTTTTCAATTAACATAAACACCTATTTGTTCAGCAGAGAGGAAACATGGTCAACTAGAGAATCAACCAAATGAGCAATGATCATGGAGCAGAACTAATGCCTACCAGTCTGTGCATGTGTGAGAGTGTGAGAGTGTGTGTGTGTGTGTGTGTGTGTATGTGTGAGAGGGTGAGTGAGTGTGTGCACAAACGCACACCCGTGCATTAGAGGGAACAATGCATTGTTGTTTGCTGACATTGTTCCTCCCCATTGACTTCCCATTAGCAGTGTTGTTCAACATCTGTTGAGAGGAAGTATGTGAGTTTGATTTTGCGTGTGTGTGTGATCATCATCTGTAGCAGAAGGCCAGCCATGCATCAGAATGTGTAGACACGTTAACTGTATTTAACGATGATGAATATAATGGTTTATTCACAGGGCCAAGTTTCCCTCTGCTCTGATAAACAGAGAGAAGAGAAGAGAAGAGAAGAGAAGAGAAGAGAAGAGAAGAGCAGAGAAGAGAAGAGAAGAGAAGAGAAGAGCAGAGAAGGGCAGAGAAGAAAAGAGAAGAGAAGAGAAAAAAAAGAGAAGAGAAGAGAAGAAAAGAGCAGAAAAGAGCAGAAAAGAGCAGAAAAGAGCAGAGAAGAGAAGAGAAGAGAAGAGAAGAGAAGAGATGACTTTATTTTTATCAGTGTCCTGAAATTGTAAATCTGGTTTATTTTGTTTCATTTTGTATGAAGAGAATGTCGTTTATCTAATAATATTTCTGATTTTAAACATAAATTGAAAATGCTGAGAAAGTGGTTAACTAATGACTGAACTGGGTTCAGAAAGAAGTCTCCTTTGAATCTTCTCTCAAACAGTTTTAATCCTGTGCCACATGCAGTGGTACACGTTTGCAGAAAACACTAAAGATCCCGAACTGAGGTGAACCAAAGATGATATTCAAATATTCAGAAATCCTCTGGACTCCAGAGAAGCAAGTCAGGATTTACGAGAGTGCACTTTCAAACACACTTACCTAGTGTAAGCTGCGAAAAGATCATAATAATGAAACCTGTTTGACTCCCAAACGATCACCCCAGTGTCTTCTGTTTTGTTTTGAGTTACATGCCCATATGTTTCCTTGAAGGATCTGGAAGAACATCCATGTGAACCTAAACAAAGCAGTGTGTTTTTAAGATCTGAATCCCTTTCTACCGCAAAGACTTCTGAGCATACCCTACACACTGCAAAACAAGGGCAAACTCAAGTTACACTCCATCTACAACAATGGAGCACTCAATTTGTGGCACCCATGATGTGTGTGTGTGTGCGTGTCTAGCTACATGAAAAGCAATGGGAACTCTCTCAAGGTCAGGCAGCAGATAAATGCTCTCTCTCTTGGTTAAAGTGTTTTTTGTATAATGAGTTTTTTTTGCTAATGAGAGATAATGGGCCTGCCTACAATCGGGCACCAAGCCAACATGTGCCACCCCCTCTGCTCACGGCTGGGGCTGTGGTAGCTGGAGCCCTGCCAGCACTGGTACAGTACAACAGATACAGTAAGACACACACACACACACACACACACACACACACACACACACACACACAAACACACACACACACACAGAAGCACAGATAGCCAGTTGTGAAACACGTGCGCGCACACACACGCACACATACTTTTTTCCAACCCACTTAAACTTCAATGATGCGTGCGCACACACACACACACACACACACACACACACACACACACACACACACACACACACACACTTCTACAACAAAACATGCACACATCTGGAGCTTACAGTCATCCTCTTATAGACTTGCATTTTGTATATGTGTGACTTTGTAAAATAATCGATAGAAAAGGATTTGCTTTATGCCGACTCTGAAATGTTTATTTGATTATCTAGTGGCAAAACTATTAGAAAGCAACATATAACACAAACAAACTTGGACAGACAGCTGCAAAACACACTTACACACACACACACATAAAAAAACACACACACACAAACTCAAAGGATGCACAGAAGCATCTGTGGTCTTCTGGGCAAAGCTGTTCATTTTCTGGAGATAAACACCTCAGCTCCTCAGAAGGAACTGAGCAGCTGGAGAATTTATGCCGACGCTACTTGAAAGGTCTCCTTTCCACTCTGTCTCTCTCACCCTCTTTCCTTCAGACACACACACACACACAAAAACCCACAAACTGTGCAAACCTCCTCATACATACCTCTGCCCTTGATGATACCTTTACCCATATGATACATATACAGTAAATATATTTTAATCTATGTCTAGTCTTATGTCATTGTCATTTAAAAGCTTTTCATGTGTATTTCTTTTACTCAAGCAGAAATTCTACTTTATCTTTTGGGATTTTTATGTATAAAGTTTTTAAGTTGAAATGAAACACAATTTAATTTAACAATCCCAGCCATTGTATGATTTCAAGTATTTAAGTGTATAAAATCTGACTTTTGAAGCAATTTGGTGTTTTAACTGGCAGGTTTTAACGAGATTAAATGTCTTTTTTTATCTAAACTGCTGCTTTGAGAGAAATGTCAGATAAACTGCAGCAATAAAGGCAGAGCGCATTCAATTATTATACTATTTGTATTTAGTATCTTAGCTCTAAGACAGCTCATAAAAAGTTTATTTCCCACTTCCAGCTTTAAGAAAGCTCTGGCTGAATGTTATTATTAGCATCTACATTTGAATCAAGCCAGACTCAGCCTAATAGATATGATTAGAGCTCTCACAGGAAAAACACTGCTTGACATCCTCATTGTTCACTGGCCAACAATGACTGGAGGAAGACACGCTAAGAACTGAGCAGTTCTTTAGGGGACTGACCTCTCATCAGGCGAGTCCACGTGGAAGGTTCTCTCGATGACTGTGGTCCATTGAAGGCAGCGTATGATGAAGGTGTTTGGCTTCGGCCTCTCCGTCTTCATCAGCTGACATTCTGAAACAGTCAGCCAGAGGGACAGTGCTGTCTTTTCAGTAAAAATTAAATTGTCTGAAAAGCACAAAGTTCAATATGAAAAAAAAAAGAAAAACAGGGGTAAGAGTTTTTAATTGTACTTGCTGAGTTGTTCTGAGTTAGTTTGGTCCTGCCCCTGCTAGGACAAACTGCTTGATGACCCAAGATTAAACCTTTAAGTAGTTCCTGTGTGTGTCTGTGTGAGCAGGGTTCATCAGTTCATCAGTGTCTTTTTTCTGGGGTTGGTGGTTTTACCTTTTTTTTTTATCTTCTTTACTTTTTTATTGTTTCACTTTCTTGTATTTTTCATTCATTATATTCGTCATATGTTACTTGTTGTACATTTTAATGTAAAGCATGCAAAGTTTAATTGGAACAAAACGTTCCGTGTAAATAAAAAATGTCTCATCTTGCTTTGCCTGAAAACATGACTCACAGGTGTAAATAAAATTATTGATGACTGAATTCCATTTAGCTTTGTCAGTTTCAGGGTCCTGACATTGTGCATGCCGGCTTGCTGTCACACTATTATGGTTTACTGGGAAACTTGAATAGATCGGAGACGCTGTCATTGTTATTAGCAACACCTGTGCTTTCCCTGCCATGACAAGTCAAAATGTCAGCTGTGAAAATAGCTTTAGGCAAATAATGTAGGCCTACTCATTACTAACATTAGAATATATTTAGATAAGACATTTATACTGAAAAACAAGTTTCTCTTTAAAATGTGCAGTTTTTTATTTCATTGGCAATAACTTCAGCAACTGATAACTCAAAGAAAGGTGCCAAGGGATATTATGTGTTGCAAAGCATACACATCTGGCGAATATCCGAAGAGACACATTTCTGTGAAAATGGGCAATACAGTAGGCCATTATTACACAAATGCATAATGCAGTACACAAACAGAGAAACGTACACACACATAGCCAGATGGGGCTATGAGTTTGCCCTGGGAAGGAATGCATCTTCATTGTCCCTCAGCAGTCTCTGTGGTTACTGGGGACAAGAGCTGGTGTAAAAAAAGCATAATGATCCATCTTCTGTCCTTTCATCTTCCCCCACTTTTTCTTTGCTCTACATATATCACCCTCCATTTCACCCTCTCCTGTTTTCTCCTCCCCTCTGCTCTCCTTTTGTCTCCTGTCACTCTCTACTCACCTTCTCTCCTGCCCTCATCTCTCCCTCCCCTCACTTCCTTTCCTCCCTCCTCCTCTTCTGTCCTCTCACCTCCCGTCCTTAGCTACCCCTTCTTCCAATTACTTCCTGTTTAAGTGTGGCACAGCACAGCACGTCATGGCTCAGCCTAAATATAGACAGGAAGGTTAATGACAACACCACTCAGGTCGTACACACAGCAGAGTTTCAATGTAAAGTCAAACACAGACACACACACACACATACACAAAGAAGTTACTACCTGACTCGGGGAAAAAGGCCTGCTGTGCTGCCAGAAAACAAGGTCATGCTATGGTTGATGCCAAAAAACACTCACACCCATGCATGGACAGACACGCACGCACGCATGCACACACGCACGCACGCACGCATGCACACACACACATACACACACATAAAAGTGATATTGAAGTTTGAATGTTAGCTGAAATTGGGTTGTTTGCCACAGCAGGCAATTCTGAAATCTTTGTAGCAGTTTAGTGGGTGTATGTGTGTGTGTGTGTTTGTGTGTGTGTGTGTGTGTGTGTGTGTGTGTGTGTGTGTGTGTGTGTGTGCGTGTGCGCACATGTGAGTGTGTGTGTGAGCGACAGGCTTGTATGTATGAGTCCCTCTGCAGGGAACAGGCCTGTACCATCTCTGTTCCATCTGACCACTTCTGTTGTTCACACACACATAAACACACACACACAGGATCACACAAATAAACAAACACACACACACACACACACACACACGCCACCTGGCCTCCCAGCTTTGGGCAACAGATGTGGCAGTGCCAGTGCTGTGCCAAGCAGCCGGGGCCGGATGTATGGCCTGGCTTGTCCTCCTCACAAACTCTTTTCCTCTCCTCCATTTCCTCGTTCTCCAATCCTGTCTTCGTCTCCTCCTCCCTGTCTGTTCAGCACTGACTATCCTCCTCTCCTCTTCTCCTCCCTCATCCTCCCATCCTCTCCCCCATATTTCCTCCACAAAAACCTCACCCTCCATCCCTCTCTCCAGTTCTCATCCGTTGTTCTCCACCCTAATCATCCTTCCATCTCTGTCCTCTCTCTCCCTACACCCGTCTCCAATTTTCTCTTCCTCTGCCCCCTCCGATCGATTCCCATCGCTCATTCCCCATACTTGTCCTCCCTTCCGGACTCCTATCTTTCTGTCTCCTCCTCCGCCTTTCGATGTACCATTCTTTATCATTTTCTCTGAGGTATCAGCTTGTACTCTACCATTCGTCATCATTTTCCTTTCTTTTTTCTACCTCTCCTCAGCCTCTCCTGTTGTTCCGTCCATCACTAATCTTCACTGCACTGTTCTTTCAAAGCCATTTAACTAAAAAACCTGACAAGATTTAACTGACTAAACCTATTCAGTTTCATTTGTATGTTAATTTCCTGTGCAGTATTACAGTGTTGAAAATGAATATATGCAAGTAAATACAGTGGCATTTGCATTAGGCCTTGTGCCAAGAGGTGAAACGCCAACTTAGTACTTATCAGATTATGCTCAGTAGCCTGTGATCGATGTATGGACATGAGACAAAACTGCACCGAGTAAACAATTGCACCAACAAGGATCTACTTACTAAGAGACATATGCTATATGATATACTACATATACAGTGTTTTAATCTTTTTATCCAGCACAGTCATGATGCCGATCTACAAACTACAAACTTGGCCTATTTTTGTTTTCATTTTCTAGAAAACCAAATAACTAGATAATCCTGTTTACATTTAAGCTCAACTCAAAAAAGGTCATACATGCCTTTACCTTATTTCAACTTGATTATTGCAATTCTTCTGGTGTAACCGTAACAAATCAAAAGTCTCCTGCCTACAGATAAATGCAGTCGTTAGGCTTCTAACTACTGTAATGTTAAGTGACAAAGTCACATTATATCTAGTCTTTTATTGATCATATTTACAGTAAAACTATTTTTCATTTCTTACCCTGCCCTGGCCTTCTCTTTTTGAGCCTCATTTGATGTTATCTGCTGTAATGTATTTTCAAACTTTTTTTTTGTTTGTATTAAATGAATTTGCTAAAGAAAATAATTATCTGACTGATATGTGCACCCAATGCAAGAGGAGACAGTGTCACATGCTGTTCGCGTAATCTTAACTAAATCCACTTTTGTGTGATGTAAGAAACAAAACCTGAACTTCTTGAAACAGAAACACATTAATTTCAGAATCAAAATAGCAAAGATTTCAACAGTGATGTACTGGCTTGATCAGCCTTATGTCATGTTATAGACAGACAAGTCAAAATGAAACTCGGAAAGTTTGGCGTCTTAAAAAGCAACCAGTTATGGCCATCCAAAAACCACAGTGAGGACTGTACATTTGTAGTAAGCACTGTCTTCTGTCAGATTATGGGATACAGATTCAGGGTGACCACCATTTTTTAATCCAAAGTCAAACCACTGGAAAGCTATCGCAAAGTTTTACAGCCAATCTGCATTTACTGTATGAACAATGAGAGGTGGTGGCAATGAGACTGTGAGACATTAAAATTCATCTTGTTAACTCATTAGTTGGTTAATTACACATGTCAACGACGCCGTGGAGCTTGTTAACCAGGTGCAGACAGATGATATACTGATAAATGGTTAATTAGAGCCCTCAGTGAATTCTGTAACGCATATCAATGCTGTGAAGACTGATGACTGACAAGATGTTTGGACACGCCATGAGTGAAACTGATGCAATAACTGTTGCACCATTTCATTGTGTCGCTGTGTGATGAAATCACAAGAACATTTCAGCAACATCTCACAGCAATTTACAAGACAGATGTATTTTGCATTGACATTTAAGAAATATAAAAATATAATCAGTTAGATGATACAGGTTATCGTATGTCTTTTAACTGGAAAAGATGGGTGCAATTGCCTGCTGAAGTGCCCTACAGCAAGACACTGATTCCCTACCACCTACAGTTGCTCTGCTCTGAACTGAGATGTTCAGTACAGAGGTTAATAACAGCAGGTCTCACATCATCATCATCATTAAACTGTTTCCAAACACCTCCATTTTTGTGCAAAAGCCTAATAAGAATGTATCCAAAATAAAAAGGTTACTGTTCTTCAACCCTTCTGATTGCAGTCATAACCACAAGCTTTTGGTATAAGAGAGGGAATATGAGGCCTGTAGTAGTATCTTTCATGTGGAAAACACTTTGGAGCCATAGCCTAAAACCAATCCTGTATCAACAGCTGTTGCAGGGATATGGGGAAAGTAAAATATATTGCACAGATAGAATCAGGAGACGCAAAGCTTCTGGAACAGACCAAAATACACCTGAAGTAGTTGTACCTGTGCCAAAGTGTCCCACAGGTGGGCCACTGTGTTTTAAAAGGTTAATTATGAGCCTACAAAGAATTAGGAAGAAGATGCAGGTGCTTGGACACGTTGCAAAAAAGCAAATTAGTGCATCAGGAATAGAAAAGCTGCATCTTTCTGATAGGAATCTGTAAGCATGGGATGGCTGAATGCAGTGACACAGTGACACATGACACAGTGACGTTTTCATATATATATATATATATATATATATATACATATATAGTAGGTAACGTACTTGCTACAGAAAAGTTATTTAGGGGGTAGGGCAGGTCTGCATCCTGAGGTTTCTCTTTGTAGCCGATGAAAGAGCCGTCTGTCTTCAACAGGAAGTAACGCGGTCGCCAGTTCTTTATGTATTCACCTGAAGAGAGAGATGGATACAAAGAGAAGGTAGAAAATTTAAGTCAGATCAATTAAATACTTGATGCAAATACAACTGAATTCAGATCATGAGGGCAACAGTGATGATGATGCTGAAGGCTAATGATGATTATAATGACCATGATGATATACAGAAAGTATTTATAGCAATAGTGATTCTGGACACGATTTTAAATACAGATAGATAGGATGACAGATAAAAGTCTGTCAGCTCAACTCTTCATCTGTCAAAAGGATATCTCTCTCTCTCACACACACACACACACACACACACACACACACACACACACACACGCACACACACAGAGTATCTCTGGGACTCCCACAGCGCTTGCCAGATTCCGATCGGATTATCATGTAAAAATTGACAAAAACATGTTTACCAGCACAACACTCAAACTATCCATGCCAGAAACATCATCTGGCTGATACATGGGCAGGTGTCGAGGTGATGACCCTTCTACCAAACACACACACAAGCACACTGAACACACATGTGCCCACATATGAACTCACAATTTAAACGCACCCACATACACACAAACCACTGGTTGCCAGCAAAGGATGAAGAAGAGAAGAGGATGAGATAGGATGAGACGAGACGAGATGAGACGAGATGAAACAAGAAGAGGTAAAGTTACATGTAGAGAATAGCCCTTCTTAAACCACAGCAACAAATAACAACATCTGCTGAGCAGCTGGTCGCAGAGTATTACCCAACTGGCTGGCACAGACTGGCACTAAGGTGGCACCACAGCTTTATCAGATGACCTGCTGCAGGATTACATGAGTGTCAAACATTACCACACTGCCACAGAGGCGGATAACACTTACTGGAAACAGCATGGATACACACATGGATTATAGTACACAGTATGGATTCACACATAGCTAGACAAGTACAGAGAGTGCAAATGCAGGGATGAAACTGAGCGCACACATGTACGATTACACATATGACTGAAGTAATAACGGAACAAACAGCTCTGATGAAAGAAACTGACAATCTCAACCCTTTCCAAACTTGGGAGTTGTGTAAACATTTCACCTTCTCTTTTCAAACAACAGAAATAAAAACCACAGAAACCCTTCTTCTCAACCCCTATTAACTGACCAGCTGTTCCTTGACATGCACACTCATACATTTACACACCCTGTGAAGCCATACTAATAGATAAAAAGATGCATATGTGCATGCACACATAAACGCACTCGAAGATCGGTAACAGCTCTGATCACCTTTTTTAGGCTGATTCGCTGGGAGAGGAGAATAGGCAGTGTGTGTATGTGTGTGTGTTCTATTTGTGACATCCATTTAAAGCGGAAATGACAGCAGGCCGTGCTCGTTAACACATCGCAGAAAAACACCTGCTCCGCCGAAGAGACCGTGCGACTGCGGGCCCTGCCGGTACCTCTGGGTGCTGCTGGTGGTAGAGGTGCGTGTGTGTGCGTGTGTGTGCGTGTGTGTGTGAGTGTGTGTGAGGTGGTGGTGTTGGGGTGGGTTAGCGGCTGACTTGAAGCATCACACAGGGACAGAGAGACACTGAGAGACAATGATAGACAGATAAGATGAAGAAAATACTGTTGGGTGCCAGTGCGTCATCAGGATTACCAAATCACACCTCTCCTCTCCTCTCCCTGTCTCTATTTTTCTCTTTTTCACAAATCCACCCACTCTCCTGTTTCCTTCTCCTGTTCTTTCAGAAACAAAGCATATTCTTTGGATCACTTGCTACTGATAAACAGAGTGCAGAGGGGCTGAATGGGAGAGGTGGGAGGAGAGATGGAGAGAGGCATAAGGAAGAGGAAAGAAAAAAATTATAAAGAAAGGAAAGCAAAAAAGGGATGTGGGGAAGGAGGCTGCAAGCAAGCCAAAAGAAGACATCTCATTAATTCTGACCAAACCAAAATATTATTATTGTAAGTAAACTTAACGAGACTTGAGGTATTTTATATATTTATGTATTTATGTACTGCAAAAGAGATGCAACTTTTTCAAATCTACAAAACTACAAGGGATGGCCACTATAAAAACAAAAGCTACACAATATAATTAAAGGCACTAAAATAGCCCTGAAATAAATACTGAGTGTTATAATAATTTTTGTAGTGACTGTGTGAAAAAAATTATGACTCAACTTTAAAGGGTTGTACATATGTTTCTGTCACTGTGTTTGGCTCCTGTAGCTTTGTATCAGACAAAACTTATAAATGTGTGTGACCACTTTAGTTAAAAGAGAGAAACAGAAATTAAAACATTGCAGGTTTCAGCTCTGAATTCACAAACTAACAATGGAAGACTATGATCATATGGAAAATAGAAACTTCAAACTGGACAGGAGAAAGAGATGTATTGACTGACAAAATGGATGAGGATGAAGAGAAAGTTAAACTGATAAAACTATTATAAACTGGCAGTGATGACTGGTTTGCTGGTCCAAGTCCAGTCATTTCTCTGAGTCAGTTTCTAGATGAAGTGTCCAACCAATGGAAGCCTGTGGCTGGCCACTTCATCGCTCAGCTGTCCAGTGCAACTGAAAACATTTAAGCAATCCTTCTGGCCAGGCCTCGACAGCGTGTATGTGTGTGAGTGTGGATTGTGTGTGTTTGTGTGTACATGTCCACTGGGGGGCGGGGGAAGGGGCAGCCAGGGGTGGCACAGACGGAGAGAAGAGATGGACAGTTGTCCACACACGCCGTTCCAAACAGGCACAGGCACACGCACACACAAATGTGCACACACAAAACTAACACAATTCTGTTTCGACCGTTCCAATTCTCCGAATGATCCAATGGTGTTCTGTCAAGCTATCCCGTCTTGGCCCTGCCTGTAATGAGTCCAGCGAGCTCTCCCACTCTGGACAGCTTGTCTGGAGAGCCACATGTCTCTAGTTTGGACTGCTGGAGAAAACAGAACAGCCGGTCTCCTTCCCACACCATCTCTCTCGGACTCCTCACTACAGTTGCATTTAGTTTTCTGCACAACTTTACTTTTCCCTTAAGACCAATTAGTAAATACTACACTACACAGTGCTTAAGACAACAGGAGTCTCTTGTTTCTTGTTAGAATGATAGGATATCAGTAATACAGGAGAACGTGGGTGACTTGAAAGATCTAACGAACAGAGGATATTTAGGAAGATAAGATAAACTATTTTAGAGTGCGTTTAAATTCCAGGTTAAATTTGTTCAAAGCAAAGACAAAATAGAGACTTGCATCAGTAAAGTGCTCTCTTCCATCTAATTTGATGTCCTTATTGTATAATCATACTTTTCTAAAACCTTTCTGTTCTTTTTATTTTTATTGGTAGGGGAGTATTATATAATATCATACCTCTTATTCAAAAAGGTGTTGATAAACAACCACATCCAGTAGTATGATGAGGTAAAGGTGGCAAACTTTGCCTGAGTATCGACCCGTTATATCTTTTGTTTTCAGCTTTTTTGCTATGAGCCACAAACTAAGGATTAAAAACTAAACTAGACTTTTTAAGAGTTATTTTGGAATTTCTAGGAGAAATAAATCTTGTTGGCTCATCCTCCAGTTGCAGCTTGTGGATTTAGCAGTAAGAGGCAGAGATGAATCAGCTGTGACTGTGTCCGTTCCAAGCTTTCTGATTGGACAATTACAACAACGCACTGACTAACTGTCACTCAATTAGCAAACTGATTAACTATTCATTTCAGGACAGAGGGGGAAAGGGGAGAGAATGAGAGAGAAATGCAGAAAAAAAAAATTAGGAGACAGGTACAAATGGTAAGACTGAACTTCAGCCAGCAAGACAAAAATGAGTCACACAAACTTGTGCAAACTTAACAGTCTCTCTCTATCTCTCTGTCTAACACTCACTCCTTCAGGACACCTGCACACCTCTGCTCTCCTGCTTTGTCGAGGAAAAAACCTTGATGACAATTAAATAAATAACTCCATAACTATGTGAGCTCACCAGCCATTTGTTAATCAACCCAAACAGGGATTTAATTTAATGCTTTGGCCGAGGCTGGAGCTGATATGCAGATGGCGCAGAGACGGGGCTGTGTGACTGGCACTCTGGGAGCTGGAGCGGTGGCGGGTGGTGGCGTATATAGAGGTAGGGGGAGGCGGATGGAGAGGGTGGGGTGGGGGGGCTTCTTCCACGTTCCAGCACATACACAGCAGCTCACCAGCCGGGAGAGGAATGTATCGTCTGGCCACATAACAACACACACACACACACACATTCAGTGTTCAGAGCAGTAACACAGAGGGTTTGGCTATAACAGAAGAGAATAAATAACAAGTTTACTAACCAAGTGACTGAGTAGCTGGCTGGCTGGTTGCCTGACTGATAAGCTGACTGACCAAAGGAAAAGCTAACACACTATTTAGATTACCTAGACAGAGGTTAACTTTCACCCTCACTAACTGAGTGACAAGCAGGTTGTAAGTATGCAGACTGGATAACTGACAAAACGACATCATGTTTTGGTGCTGGAATGATTTGATTAACTGAGTAGTCGACCAACAGATAATGAATCAACAGTTCTGATGACAGATTAATCATGTTAGTTATCATTGTAGATTTCCTGTTTTGGGATTTTGGACTGTTAGTCAAGAGAAAACAAGCAATTTGAAGAAGTCACATTAGGCTTTGGCAAATTGTAAACAGCATTCATCATTACTGTCTGACATTTTATTGACAGATTAATCACCCATAAAAATATTTTTCAGTTGCAGTTGTCTATCATGTTTAAACAGCATTAAAGTATGAAGGTATCAAACACAACTAGTATCTTTATCGTATGTACCATACAGTGAAGGTAAGTAGGTGACAAGTATTGAGTATTGATATTCAATGAAATGTAAATATTTACTGCACAGTGTAGCAGTATAGGGTTGCACCATCAAACAGCAGCAGACTGCAGTCAAATTAATGGGTGGGTTTGAGCTGAAATGATTAGCCGGCTGCTTGAGCTGATCTCCTTATAGAAGAAGGTCAA